ATAGATAGATAGATAGATAGATAGATAGATAGATAGATAGATAGATAGATAGATAGATAGATAGATAGATAGATAAATAAATAGACAAATAGATAGATAAATAGATAGATATATTGCTCTATATATCTAAATGTGCTAACATGTATTACCAAGCGCTCTAGTGTATTTTTTTCTTCATTAAGAAAATCTCTCACGACATTGAATATTTAGATATTAAAAACCCTCACCAGTGAATATGCAATCTATTCTGTAATCGCTTTATGTAAATTAAGAACAGTACGCTTTGTTTACGTATAGCATCTTTCAGAATTATGCATCTTCCGGTATCACATAGGGCTACGATTAAAATCACTGTTACGACACTCTGGGATTAGTGATCTCCTAGACTATCATAGCGCGATTCGTCGTGCTATGCCTGTCCGGTATATATACGTTGCTACTTCAGAAAAATTGTAACTCCCCATGTATCCTAACGTAACGACACATCTCATGGTGGCATTAATCATAACAATAATTATGTGATGAAAGCAAGAATTTCACATGTTTCCCAGCCATTTTCATATTTTCTCGCCCGTTCCAATATTTACCGGTACTCGTTGAGTTGCGAGTTGAGAGTACGAGACCACTATAGTTAAGAGCATCGAGTGGCGTTCGGGCGCAACGCGTACATCGGCGGAATGCTGCAGTGTTGCGGAGATAGGCCGCACTATTGTGGTCTTGTGTGTGTGTTCTACGCAATCTCGTGGTAAGAACCCGAGAATCCCATGCAGAGTCACACGCAGGTGGTGGAATCGAGACAGAAACCCCGTAACATGACCAACGACATAATTATTTGCCATGTGCAACCAAGCAATTTTCATGAAGTAAGTGAATTCAAAATATGTATGCACAATAAGCAGGTCATATGTAGGCATCCATTAGGTACGATGAGCACTTTTAATTATGCCATGAACTGATGTAACTAAACTGGAAAGCCGTACACCAAATGCTGACATTCTGTCAAGAGCTCAAAAATTATGTGATCTTTATACTGTCAATAATATATGCACACAACATAACTCGATGGAAGCCCAAGACAGGTAGCAATGTGACATGCGAAATTAATTCTATAGACTTTAATTATATTTTCTTGCGGGGCAATTAACGGTTGCGCAACTCGTTATGCGGTAGCACTAGCTATTATCTCATGGTGACGCGGAACTTGACGACCCTCTCCTCCCTCTCTTTTGCTTCCGTTGTTACCCGACTGACGGCTGCGTGTCCGTGCAATTAGAAATAGATTTGTTCTAATTTGCCTGATCATCGCTTGACCCAAATGGCACCGCTCATTTCTTCCATGCTATTTGTGAACGCTTTACATCATCGATTAATTCGGGTATACGCTTGACAGCATAGGTTCCTGCCAAATTAATGGCTCAGGCGACCAAGCGACCTCATCTAGGTGTGTGCCGTCACCACGTGGTGCCCTATTAAGAATGGCTTAAAACACTTGTAACAAGCTCGTCACTTGTTGACATAATTGTGCCATCGCAATCTTTTTCTGCTTATTATACGGAAGCCTGTTATTGCCAGCGAGCTACCCCGAAAATCGATTCTTGCTCTGCCCTTCTAATTACTTTACTTAGTTTTCTCCGGTGCTGTCGTGGGTTTCCATTGGGTTTACCTTACATAGCAGAGAGATTTATATCCCATGTGATGCAATCTGTCATTTTCACCCGGATTATGTTACATCGTTGATGTCTGTAGTTCTTTATATGTACCGGGTGACGACTCTATAGGGTCGACTTGGGAGGTATTCATACATACACATGTCACGCACTCTCCTATCGCCAAGGTCGCTAAGAGCTTCCACTGACCTTTCCGAGCAGAGGGATTTTATAAGGGTCTGCTAAACATTGATTACTGTCACCGTCGTTACAATTGGATTTAATGTGAATGCAGGTCAGCGTTTGTCCTCGCGGATGTTGTTGCCGAAGAAACTGCATTTAAGATGCTGACACAGTGGACGATGACACCAAGGACGCTGACACATAGGACGATGGCACCAGAGACGATGACACCACGGACGCTGACAGAGAGGACGATGACACCAAGAACGATTGTACCAAGGACGCTGACACCAAAGAAGGTGATAGCAGGAACGATGACACCAATAACGATTGTACCAAGGACGCTGACACCATGAACGATGACACATAGCACGATGACACCAAGGACGCTGACACATAGAACGATGGTACCAAAGACGCTGACACATAGAACGATGACACCAAGGACGATGACACCAAAGACGATGACACCAAGGACGACGACACCACAAACGCAGACAGAGAGGACGATGACACCAAGAACGATTGTACCAAGGACGCTGACACCAAGAACGATGACAGCAAAGACGATGACAGCACGCACGATGACACCAAGACGTTGCCACCAAGGGCGGTGACACCAAGGATGATGACACCAAGGAAAGCTGACAGCAAGGATGTTGCCGCTGACAGCTTGCCGGTTGACGGCGGGTTACTTAATTCAAGGACGCCAACAATGTTAACACTATATTAAAGATTTGTTTTGTAGAGATTGTAAAAAATAAATTGTTTTTATTCACTCCTGATATTATATTATCAATGATAGTGGGAGATAAGCACTTAAAAAGAAGCTTAGCTACTCGTATTTTAATACATACATTGTCCAATAAATGAACAGCCGATGGGTGTGAGAAGTCATCAACCTTTAGCCGAAACAAGGAAAGCAATGGACACCTGCAGAACAGTGTTTTTAATACAGCGCCTGGTATATTTCGAGCACGGCACTTAATCAAATGTGCCGTAGCATAGTGCATTTTCCGTTTGTGCTTTTCTTTTTATAATTGATTTACGGTGTAGTATAATTGATCATACATCTTCCGAGCCCAGTCATAGTACATAATTATATGAAAGGCCACCGGCTTTTGTCGTTATGTATCGAAAGATATATAACTTTACTAATTAGTGATAACGTCGCGTATGGCTTCCAGGCGAAAACATGAATATGCAGTACGTCGTAGCTTGTAGTTAGTGAATGAAACACGAAGCAGCTGGTCGGTCGATTGCATGTGCATTTTAATAAAACTGAAAGAGCTTAGCTACACGTATATTAATACATACATTTTACAAATAAATGAGCCGCCGATGGGTATGAGAAGTCATTAACTCGCAGGCGAGACGAGGCAAGCAATAGACGCCCGCAAAGCAATGTTTTTAATAAGTTTTCATGCCGGTTATAATTTTGATGCAACAAATTCTCGTCTATTCATGGGTAATAGGTGAATCGTGTATAGCATATAGCGTATGGTGCGAGCTAGATATGGTATTGCATAGCAAGTATAAGATCGTACACATTTAAGATGTGACTACATCACCCTATTCCAATCACCAGAAAAAATCCATATTACAATGGAATTTAAAAAAAACAAAAAAAAATTAGGCAGTCTTCTGAGCGTGGGTAGCCTTTTCCTGGAGAAAAGAAATTCAAACAATTTATTGGCAGTGTCCTGTACGCTACAATGAAAACATTTATATTTTCTAAGGCTGCACTGCGAAATGGGGTGCGCCAATATCATCATGAAACTGAAATTTGTTTTAGAAGTTATATTCCCAATACGTGTGTGATAAATCTTAATGATTGACTTGTTTGTTAAGTGAAAGTCAGATCCTGATCCTGATCTTTACATATATATCGCAATTAATACGGTATTTAAGCAAAACGTTTTATTACCTCGTCCTTCTCAGTGTACAGCCCGGTATTTACGTTGTTACCAACTCCCCATGTGTTGCTGTCGGAGAAGACAAGCTCAAGGGGAGGACGATGAGATCCTTGACCACTGGCCCAAATCTAACGTCCAGGATACAGTACGTTAGCACACGGAATTCATAACCGCCTTTCGGTTCTGCTTCTACCAAGCTATGACTGTCTGCCTCGAACTGTGGATCACACTTGTTCGGCTTCTTGTATGACGCCATATCAAACATATCCACTTTCCTTTTGTAACGTTGTACGTAAATTTGACGTTATGTCAAGTGATTTAAAATATTCAGAGGTTGTATGTGCGCTGAGTGCGCGCCGCTATGCGTGTGTGTGTACGTTCTACTGTGTGTATGGGGGTGCGAGCGCGCACGTGCGTGTGCCTGTGCCTTTACCTTAACGTTTCTTCCAGCCTTTAGCACGTAGCGTGAAGGAAACGTGAAGACCTTCTCCTCTCTTCCATCTAGTCTCCTACGAATCTTCCAGCCGTCCAAGCTGATATCCTAAAATTATGAACAGTGCAAGCTTGTAACTACTTCATAATTGTAATAAATGTATAATTGTAATGAATACGTAGTAGTGACTGCAATTGTTAACGTATCGTGTTAATCTGCGTTGTCGCGTAATAGAAGTACTTACAAACAAAGTGCATCGGCATAAAGCTAGGTTTACACCACGAACAATGTGAGGAAACATTACGGAAAGATCAGTAGGTTTCTAAGTACAAAATTATCCGTTTATAGTTGACTATTGGTGACTATACCAGGCAATAATTCAATGAAATACTGAAACTTGAATTCCGAAATCTCACTTACACACACGTGCGCACACGGATACCTCTCTCCGTGTGTGTGTGTGTGTGTGTGTGTGTGTGTGTGTGTGTGTGTGTGTGTGTGTGTGTGTGGTTGCGTGTGTGTTGTGTGTGCGTGTAAGGGATTGCGTATATATATATATATATATATATATTATATATATATATATTTATTTCTCGGCTCCCTCACCTTGAGTTTGCTGGTATTTTCCATGGTGATGAATTTACCGTCGGGACTGACGTCAGCGAACGAAACTGGCCCCTTGCTGCTTCTCTGGAACGTAGTCTTAGAGCTCGACTCGCTCGATACAACCTTCATGCTGGAGCCTGCGTGTATGAAAGTATCGATACCGGTTTTAATGCGAAGCCCACCGGACACTGGATCAATAAAATAGCAGAAGAAAAATACACAGTATCATGACGCCATACTCTTTATAAACCGTAATTATGAAATAAATAAAATATCATCCACTTGCAAGGGGTAAATTGACCCGCCTTTGAATGCCAGCGTTCTAGCAGCATTGCGGCTTCAGCAGGTAGACGGAGAAGGAAATCTAGCTAACCGTTTTTCTGACTGCGTTCGTAATTTGCACGACTATGTACACGTGTTGAACGATAACCGGCTGTTTGTCGTCACGGAGGTTGATCAGTAAAGGCAAACGAAAAGACGCTCCTGTTGACGCAATTTAGATCGTAATTGAAAGCGAGGCGCAAGCCCACTGCCACACCATGCAATATCGCACGACAGGCGTGTAGTAACGAAATATTCGATCTAATACTGCCGGATTTTTCACCGGTAATGAATAATGTGAGTTTTACCGTTAGTAAATATTTAATATTTGTCAAGTATACCATGAAGGAAAACGCACATTATGATAATATTCAGTGGAAGGCGCGATACCAACATCTAAATGACATTCAAAGACAATGAATGTTGACGAATGCTGGATGTTTCTAGTTGGCGTCTCGATAACCACCCAGGCCATCCTTAAAAAAATTATATGTTTGCTGTCCTCCAACCGACCCACAAAAATAGCCGCGACCCCAAAGTTTTTTTTGACATTTTGGATTCCATATTTCTTTTTTCTTTTTTTTAAACATTTTTTATAGTTAAGTCTGAAACACAAAGCATGTGTGGCAAACATAAGGACAGACTTAAAATAACTATTATGCCTCACAAAAAAAAGAAGACCTACCTACCCACTAAAAAATCATGGGTCGGGGGACAGCAAACATAGATTTTTTTAAGGATGGCCCCGGTACGCCGAGCACAGCGCATTATTTTTACATCATTGGCAAATGTAACACCTTACTAAGCCTTTCAGCCGTTGAACGGGAGAAAAGGATAACACAGACGACCCCATTAAATGCCGCAGTCGCGATTTTCATTTCGACTGACAACACATGAAGATGACATCGCCAGAAATTGAAGAAACTTGAAACTTGATTATCGGTTAACAATTGCGTACAAATGGAAGTCTTTTATTATCTTTTATAAGATCTTTTTATGCATGAACAGTTTCACACACCCCTGAATATCGTAGACTTACCACCTATGCTAGACGAACCAGATTCCCTCTGCTCCATGTAGCTACGCACCCGGGTTTGTGTCTGTGGAGTCATGGCAAGTCTATAACATGAAAATACCGCGGTTATTGGCGTGTGACCAACCGGTTCCGTATCCATCACCCTTCGCCAGTTCTACCTCTTCATCGAACAATTCTACTCCTCCATGTACACTTCCTTCTTCTCCCCATCCTCCTCTTTGTCATTGGCCTCATCCTACTCATACACCACTACCACCATCCTCTCCATCATTCCCCCTTCTCTTCCCCTCCTCCTCCTCTTCTGCCCTTTCCCCATCCTACTTCTTCTTGTCATTTATCTCCTTTTTCTCCTGTACTATTCTGTCTCTTCCCCCCTCCTGTTCCTCCGCATCCGTCTGATTCCTCTTTTCCACCCTCTCCTTCTCGCGCTCCTTATCGCACCTATTCTCCTCGCCCTCGAGTAGGCGGCGGTAGGCGGCGATCTCGGCATCTAGTCTCAGCTTAGTGTCCATCAGTTCCTTGAGTTCGAACAGCTGAGCGGCCATCTTCTGCTGCATCTCCTCGAGCTCTGCATCCCGCTGCGCCAGCGTCGCCTGGTAGTTACGCGTCTCCTGGTCAACTAGCATCTCCAGCTCGTGCACGCGCGCCTCCAGGTTCCCATTCTAACAGCAAGAAACATAACAATGATTTCGTGAATGTTCGACATTGACTGCATACGGTTTCAATTCTAGCGGCGAAATCAACGGGATCTTCTGAAATCTTTGCAGCTACGCCTTAAGCTTGTTAGGATAGAAAAGAAAGATATTTTGCACTTATCACATTATCTGAGAACGGTGTTTTTTCTTATATAATAATATGGAAAGCCGGGTATCCTTGGATATACGGCACTGATTTCTGGCAAGCAATTTCACGTGATTTTGGATTAGTATATGTTGACCATGCCAACTAAGAGTGAACTGAACAGAGGAAAGCGATCAATAAATTGTGATAATATACATCTTGTTTGAAAGTGATTTTTCTACATGACGCAGTATGCACGTAATGTTCGAAACAAATGTTTGCATATATGACATCATAGCGCATCCACGTGTGAAACCTGTTGCAATTTTCTCCAACAATGAATGCGGATAGGAGTCACTGAAACATATGCCGATAATAACTGTGTGTGGCGATCATTTTACACAGAGTAAAAACACTGTGTATAATAATCTTTGATATTAGAATGACTTTATCCTATATATGCGGTTTTAAAGTATGTATCAGCGCGGGCGTGCGTGTGCGTGTGTGCGTGCGCGTGCCAGCGTACGCATGTGTGCGCCTGCGTTCGTGCGTATATGGTTGTGTTTATGTGTGTGTAGCCTATGTATGTGTGTGTGTGTGTGTGTGTGTGTGTGTGTGTGTGTGTGTGTGTGTGTGTGTGTGTGTGGCATGTGTTGTATTGTGTGATGTGTGTGTGTCCACCTGTGTGTGTGTGCTCTGTGTGTGTGTGGACAGGGCGTTGTGGTGTGGATGTGATGTATGTGTTTGTGATGTGTGTGTGTCCCTGTGTGTGTCCGCTCTGTGTGTGGTCGTGTGCTGTGTGTTGACATGTGTGTGCTCGCTGTGTGTGTTGTGTTTTCTGTGTGTGTGTGGGTCGTGGCGTGGGTGTTTGTGTGTGTGTCTGTTTTGTGTATGTGTATGTCGTGTGTGCCTGTGTGTGTGTTGTGTGTGCACCTGGTGTGTGTGTGTGTGTGTGTGCGTGTGTGTGTGTGTTTGTTTGTGCGTGTGTGCGAGCGTATGTGTACCTCGTTACGGAGACGTAGGATCTCGTTGTTGATCTCAGTGAGACGGGTACGGGCGCGGCGAGCCTCTTCCTGTGCGGCGCTCGTGTCCTTGTCTTTACGAGTAGTCACCTCAAGCATCTCTTGTAGCTAGTAGCAAACACGAAGGTCGTTAATCAATAACTAGTTAGCCGTACCGAGGAAACGTTTCGCGGCAGAACAACGAGTGATGATTTCAAATGAGGACATAGTGTCAAATAATGACATATTGTCAAACGAGGAGTGCCGTTTATAAAGACTGTTCGAGGATTTTCAAAAAGCGTCATTACTATTAGTTCGAATTACCTGATCGATTACATTCACATTCCTATTCGGCACCATTAAAGTCTATTTCGATTGGCTACAAATATAAAATATGTACAGTCGCTATTCACCTTTGACTTGTACCAGTTATCTGAGTCCGGTCTTTCCATCTGAGCCATGTTCTCGTACTCCGTGCGAATGTCACGGATAGCGAGTGTAAGCTCATTGCGGAACATGTTCTTGTAGTCCTGATCAGAATCTCTCGTCAGCTGATCCATGAGTTCCTTCACCTCCTGTTAAGAAACCAAACAGTGGAAAGGTGGCTGAATACTGAATCCCTTCGCAGACAACAATGTTGCAGAGACGTCTTCACGAAACGGTCGGTTGATTTCAATTGGCTTCAAGTTAGCCCGCGCACGGTTCACATTCGGCGCTGCACCGTGTGCGGGGGCCTTAAGAAGGCGCTTGGCATTCGAGCAACGTAACCTAACTTATAACTCCCGCTGATTCTAACAGATACGATTCTCAGGGTAGTTCTTCTCTTCCGCCAGAAAATAAACATATCCTGGAGGGAGTATAAAACTCTCCGTAACGGTAAAAAGTGAAGTCCTTAACACGCTCATAGCATATAAGTTTGGAACTTTAATTCGTGATTGTAATGCACCGTATTCCAGTGATCTAGATGCAGGGATGAGATTGGATAATTTAATTTTCAGCTGAAATTTTAATTAGCAAACAGAGGAGCGAGCAATGCGAGGACCGTAGGTCATCGCCATGCTAGGGGGGTCCGGGGGCATGCTCCCCCGGAATTTTTTTAAAAGAATGGTGCAATTTGGTGCATTCTAAGCTATTCTGAACAAATTATAGGAGACTCTTGAATCACCTTTTCAAGTTGTCAAAAGGAACAAACGAACTATAATAGGAAATCAGGGGGCTGAAAATAGGGCAAGTTTTTTTTATTAAATGTCTAGACATAATGATATTTTTCTGTTTCCACCCGTCGCTTGCATTGTTTTACTCAGACATAAGCTGCCTTGCTGCGACCAGATTTGAATGAAAAAAACACAATGCGAATGGAACAATCAGTGCATAGTCATGCACACAACCAAACTGCATGCAGCGCCCTCTTTCGCACACTCAATATACCACTGCCACAATGCTAGCACTATTTTTCAAGTGGGCGGAGCTCCGGGGAAATCCAGCAAATGGCAATCCAACGGCCGCGAAGTCGCCGTCGAACAAAAACATTAGAAATTTCTATGATTTGCATGTTTGTTGGTGGACAAATTTAGATGTTTTAAGCTGAATACGCAAAAATGCATCAAAGACAATGTTCGAGAATTAGGTATATTGGCAAGCATCCGAAAAATTCATGATAAATATTAAATAAACACGTGAACTTAGTTTAGTGAACAGCGTAATGATTTGAAAGTAGTAAATGGGCGCACTATTTCGTATCACTATTTTATCAAATTTCTCATAAAATAATGGTCGGATTTTTAATATCTTTGCAACTTTTATTAGTCCAAATCTTATTACATAGGATACGAGTAACGTGGCTGCTGTAAAACTTGTAGTTAAAAAGCGTTACAAATTGTAACCGAAATCCACTTGTGGCAGTGGTAGAATGAGCCTATGAGCGAGAGCGCCATCTGTCGTGGAGTTTGGCACACAACATGCACGCAGCAACATGTAAACCCGGCCCCCAGGCCAGGCTTGGTCGTTACGTGATCAGCTACCTCAAATGTCTGCCCCTATACTGCAGCCTGTGAACGAGGATTTTCTTTTCTGGCACGCAAAAACAGATACACTGTATACTTCGCTGTCAGCCTACTGTCTACACTCTACAGTCTACAGTCAGGTGCTGTTGAGGGTATATAATTTAAATTGTTACATTGTTACCCCCCTCCCAATTTTCTCAACGAATTTAGACGTTTCACAAAATCGACCCCTGGGACTTTCAAATCCGCGGATTTCCGCGGATCTGCGGAAGAATCTCATCCCTGTAGATGACACTATAAAGATTTCGCCCGTGATAAAATTTTCGAAATCATTTCATAGCAATTACAATTTGAATAACTTTAATAATTAAATTTATGGTTTTATTGAATGGTCTTCGTATATAGATGTGTCATGAACTCTAATCTACTAAAACATTTATCATTGCTAATGCTTGAAAAGACTCTATCTAGTTAGCTATTCGCGGAACGGGTTCTTAAATTACCCCCTTCTTCAATGCGCATCCTCATGCATATTCCAGTAATAACCACTGGGTGGAAGAGTGAGTCAAAACACATTCCGCTGAGAAAGTCGTGAATATCGATCAAGAATTTTGTGATTCGGTGAAAATCGTTCGTCGTGCTATAACGATAGTCTATCGTCCATGTTTCGCGCGTATTATTATTATGATTTGTTTTGCGTATATATTAGAGATATGAACACATATCTACACATATTTTATCTAGCCACGGCTGCTAGCAAACCGCGTATCCTGAGAGTACATACGTGACGCATGCGTATACGTACGGTAGAATGAAGCTGATTCATGAAGTCCAGCTCTTCCTGCAGGCTCTGCAATTTGTTTTCCATTTCCACACGCAAGAGCATCTCTTCCTCGTTTGTCTAAAAATAGAAATTCAGAAGGACGCCTCATTTTAGATGCATCGCCTTTAGCACATTGATCTTATTTGATATATTTACAACTAGGCGCTTCCGGGCTTAGAGTGCAACAACTCCAACTTCACGTTGCCTTGATCAGCAGATCTTGCTACGTACGTTTCTCGCGTTTTAAGCGTGATAAATGACACGGTAACTATCCCGCTTAAAACGATCTAAACATGTTCATTGTAATGCAAATTATATGCGAGATAAAATAATTATACAATCGTTCTAATTTACATAATACATCGTACATAATTTCTTCATTCATAATTCATATTCCCCACATACGCCGATCGGCCCGCGCGCGAGTGAAATAACATTATGCTTGTTACGTCAATATTTAGAGGCCATGTTGTAGGATTGAAAAACAGGGGGTTGTGACGTTCCGACTCAACCGATCGGGACTCTTTCAGGGAATGCACGAAACTGTCGATAAGTAGCAATCGCGCAGTGTAATACAAGCGACCATAAATCTCGGTGAGCGACGCTCCGTTTCGTGGTGGCGTAATGCATCGGTTATATTATGTTATCGCGCATATATTATGACGCCACAACAGGCTGCGCACGACCACTGCGGTACTCTTACGTTAATGAAGATGCGTCTCCTAAATTTTTCACCTGTCTTCGAATGAATTACAGCTTTTTTTTTATTATTTCTCAACTTAGCTATGAAGTACAAATGAACCAGCGTATAGCTGTGGACTTTCTCTCTAACAGAGCAGCCCATTCCGGGGATTTAATTTTAATTAAAAGCAGCTACGTTTACATTTTTGCTCAGAATTAAGATGGACACACTGTAAGGTAGTATGATCTCTTAAATTTATTACGGGCATGAATGAAATTACACGCAGCGCGTCGTTAACATGGGCATCGGCTGTCATTTTAACAAAATCCTGAAAACCTCACAGAAAGATAATTAAATCTTATCACAATTTAAAGTGGCCTTCGTATGAAATGGTTGGCATATATTTATTGCTATATCTTGAGGTGATAATCAGTCAGCGTAGTTATTAAGATATCAACAATTTTACAACTGGCTGCTGCATTTCGATGTGTACTTAGGGCATGTCTGGCCATTGGAGATTACAAAAGGAAAAGTTAGTTTTCAAAACAAGTCAAACTGCCCCGTTTCCTCGTAAGTCGCAAAAATCACGCAACTTAAAAAACCAAACGGATTTTGGTAAGCGGCCATTTGAATATCACGCGACAAAGACCGTAGCTATAAATGATCCTCAAGGAGGAAAAGGAATCCTTAAGAGAAAAAACGTGCGAAGCATGTTAAATGACTTCCAACTCATTAACAAGTAGGTTAGCGGCCGTCTTTCTATAACCGTGAAGCATTTTGGCAAAAAGCCGCCCTCTTCAAAATAGTCGTGCCTTATGTGAATACCTGTCAAATGTCTATACGATGGAAGCATTGCGGTTTTAATATACCCGGCCGGTATGCATATTATACGTTCAACGCCAAACTCCATGACAACGTCGTTGGTACAGCAGTTTGGAGATTTCTGCCCCACTATACTTACACCGCGGAGGTTGGCGAGATCGGCGGTATACTTGGCAATCTCTTTCTTGTAGCGATCCAAGTCACCGTCCAATCCATCGAACTTCTTCGACAGCCCGTTGAACTCACTATCCTGCGAATAGGAGCAAAGAATTTTATTAATATTTTTTCTCTTCCTCCTCTTCTTTCTCCTCCCCCTCCTCCTCTCTCTCTCTCTCTCTCTCTCTCCTCTCTCTCTCTCTCTCTCTCTCTCTCTCTCTCTCTCTCTGCCTTCTTTGCTCTATCTCTCTTGTACTACGCAACCGTTTCTCGCGTGCGGTAACAAAACCGCGATTCAGTTCCTTTGACTACACGCGTTACAAACACGAGATACAACACATCTACTATAACCTTTACCATGGGTGCTTTAAGCCGCGCATAACAGGCTTAGCGTATAATTAGTAATAGGATACATATCCAGATTAATTTTGCGCGCCGGTGATTGTAGTTTTTGCGATTAGCGCATCAATCACGTGCTCACTTTACGATACTTTCGCTACATGGACGTGTATCCGGTTACTTTATCGGGCATAGCTATAGTGCTAGTTTCATCGACCACAGAAATCTGCACGGGAAAATTACCAACTTGTTAATTGAGACATCCAGCGTCTATAGCGTTAAGTTGCCTATAGAGCTGCTGTAGATGTAGGATCGTACCTTTTCGGATAATTGCAGCTCGAGTCTCATTAAGCGATCTTTCTCGTTGCCCCGCAGCCGATTCAGTTCATCGTACCTAATGATGTCAGCACATTCACGTGATTATCAAGGGAATTCTTAATTAACTTTGCGTCAACAAATTTCTGATATCACATCGTTCACTGTGATACACATAAGAACGCGATATAATTCATATGTAATAACAACAACATCAACAACGATATTAATAATAATAATAATAATAATAATTATTATTATAGAAATGTTAAGCCATACAGAACGGCGTATGTGTGTGTGTGTGCGCGTGCGTGCGCGCGCGCGTGTGCCTGTGTGCGTGAGTGCGAGCGTGTGTGCGTGTGTTAATTCGTTGTTATTTCTTCTATATATATCATAGTTTAATAAACATGTATAAAAATTAATGTTAGATGCATTTAACGTCGGATTCGGACGTTTTAAGGCACGGCAAGTTGTCTAATTAAACATATGGGACACCTTTGTAAAGTCATCCGTATAAGAACAATATATATATATATATATATATATATATATATATTATATACCCCAGAAGTTCTATTTATCGAACACTGGGTTTACGATAACCAGTTAGACATGCATGAGCGAACACGCTATTCAACACGGTCACATCATTGCGTTTGGTCAATCATGCGCGCTGCACTTCACACCGGATTAAACAATAGAGCGCACAGAGCCGCAATTCATATGCGCGGGACATCTCCTGACGGACAACCTCCTTCTATTATGACACATATACGCGCTTGGAGAAACTTGTGTTCGAGAGTACAAAGCGTGCGCGACCCGCGCGAAATGTATAGAAATTTACAAGGTGTTCCACGCCAGTAAACTAGGTTAAACGGCGAGGGTGCTGAAACGCGGTAAGCGGACACTCTCTCGACGTTACGTCAGTTACCTCACACTCGCGCACGTTCATTTATTGCGGCCGCACCCATGTGCAGCCACATTCTTTAGGCGAGCAGGTTATGCAAGTTACAAACAGCGGAGTCTAATCACAGGCACTTGAAGCGTTTCAATAAAATATAATGCTAACTAAATACGAAATCTATTTACTTAGTACAAAATTCTTAATGTTTCTATACTATACTAGCCAGGCCTACTCTCTTTCACCTACGGCTACACCGCCGATAGTTTCCAACCACTGCATTACCGGCTGCCATTGCTCTCGCGGCGCGACTGTTGCACGCTTGCACTAATATAGAGAGTGCAATATATATTATATATTAGTGCAAGCGTGCAACAGTCGCGCCGCGAGAGCAATGGCAGCCGGTAATGCAGTGGTTGGAAACTATCGGCGGTGTAGCCGTAGGTGAAAGAGAGTAGGCCTGGCTAGTATAGTAATAGAAACATTAAGAATTTTGTACTAAGTAAATAGATTTCGTATTTAGTTAGCATTATATTTTATTGAAACGCTTCAAGTGCCTGTGAGTCTAATGATCAGCGCGACCAATTTGATCATCGACTCTGAGATTTATTCCGTCAGTTAGCCCCACATAAAAAAAAAATATTGATTACTTTTCGATGAATGTCGAGACCTATCACTTTATCATTAATTTTGCTACTGCTGCTTTCACGTTGGCTCACAACGAGGGATATACAGGCCCTGGACACGGCGATCGACGCAAGGCCTGCGATCATACAGAATAATGAACTTACTTGCGCTTGTATTCATCAATTTCCTCTTCCAGCTTGACGTTGCGAATCTCCACGCGGGCCTTGTCTTTGGTGGTGTCATCGATAAGTCGGCGTGCCTCCTTCAGCTCTTGCTCGAATGTCGCCTGCGAGAATTAAATCATGCACGATGTACGATACAAGACGCCGTCGCCAGAGCGCGATGTGCAAATAATCGACGCCCAAACAAAACGCTTGAAGCGCATATATGACTTCTGGTTTAGGGCGAGTCGAGGCTAAGCCATTCTAGTTTTCATGACCGCGCCCATCTATGGAAACAGTCCGCGTAGCAACCAATCCGGTTTATAATTGCGTGGACTATATTGTATCGGCGAAAAGGCTTGTATGTGAAATGTCTAAGAGAATGGAGTGAAAAGGGAAGGGAGAGCGAGAGAGAGAGAGAGAGAGAGAGAGAGAGAGAGAGAGAGAGAGAGAGAGAGAGAGAGAGAACGGTATGTGTGTGCGTGAGAGAGGGTAAAAAGAGATTGACACAGAGGTGTGTGTCTGTAGGAGAGAGAGAGAGAGAGAAAAAAAGGGAGAGAGAGCGAGACAGAGAGAGAGAGGAATTAAGTTAGAGATGGTAGGTAATAGAAGAGGAGAGGGTGACGATCGATCGAGCAGGAGACAGAGGTTTACAAAGACATGACAGTGATCAGACATGCTCTCTTTGCCCCTACCTTTTCCACACCTTACCTTGATGTTGATGGAGAGCTTTTCCAGCTTGCTCCTGTACTCCATAATCTCGTCGATCAGCTTCCGGTTCTGCTGCTCCAGGAACCGGACGCGCTCGATGTAGGTCGCGAAGCGGTCGTTGAGTTCCTGCAGCTCCCGCTTCTCCTCCCGCCGGTGCTCGACGACATCGTGCGGAGAGTTGGTGATCTCCAGATCGCCGGATAGACCTCCGAGAGCGGCCGAGCCATACGAGCGGGAGCTGTAGGAGTAGCTGGAGCCGCCGCCGCCGCCGCCGCTGTTCGCCGAGCGGATCGTGCTGCGGCGCGGCGTGATGTGAGAGGAGTAAGCTCCGCCGATGTCGTCGATGTCGCTGCTGATGTTAGTCGTGCGGATGGTCCGCTTGGTCGTGACGGTCTCTGTCTCAGCCATCGTTGTTAATGTTACTTCGGATATGATAGGCGAGGGCTGGTAGGCGAGGAGCTCGGCAAGCTGAGAGCGAGGACAGGCGCGGCACTCAGAGACAGGTACAAGTAAGCGGCGGCGGGGCTGGGCAGCGGGATATAAGCTCGGGTCGCATCGGGGCGTTGGCTTGAGTTCCTTCACGCGCCGCTAGCCGCGCGTGAAGAGGCTCATGAGGCGGTGACTCAGCCAGTCACAGATATTCCCTGCACACACGCGTGTGTTACGAGATCTTCAGCGAAGGCAGAGTTTGAACAAAGCGATTGACATTTTTAGTTGATGATAATGTAAGCGATGCAGTAGCTATGTAGGCGTAGAGGTAGAGATCAGAGCTACAAGCTCTATAACGTGTCGAATAGCATTACATCATACGAGCGTGGGAGCGCTAACATTCGTCCCGCGAAGAACTCTGATGTGTACCATGCGTTTGGAACCCCTATGCTGTCGAACAAGGTTGAAATTTTCTTATCCGAGCAACCGCCTATCTGCCCAAGGCAAGACCAGGTTTCTTCGACGTTGATATATCCTGTTATAGGGTTGAGTCAGCGTCTGTAGACAGACGGCATTCCGGAGCGTTTCGGCGCTGCCCTTCATTGTGGGTAACAATCATAATGTCGCCGTATATTTATCGTCTGCGAAGCTAAAAAGCCTCAATCCCCTGCACACACGCGTGTGTTATGAGATGTTTAGCGAAGGCTGAGTTTAAACAAAACGATTGACATTTTAGTTAATGTCAATGATAATGTAAGCGATGCAGTATAGCTATATGTACGCGTAGGGGTAGAGATCAGAGCTACAAGCTCTAACGTGTCGAATAGTATTACATCATACGAGCGTGGGATCGCTAACATTCGTCCCGCGAAGAACTCTGATGTGTACTATGCGTTTAGAACCCCTATGTTGTCGAACCAGTTTTAGCTTTTCTTATTCGAGCAACCGCCTATCCGCCCGAAGCAAGACCAGGTTTCTTCGGCGTTGATATATCCTGTTATAGGGTTGAGTCAGCGACTGTAGACAAACGGCATTCAAGAGCGTTTCAGCGCGGCCCTTCCTTGTAGGGAACAATCATCCTGTCGCCTTATTCATCGTCTGCACATCGAAAAAAAGCTTTTTCTTACGTAGAAAAATATTTGGGAATAGGGAAAATCCTACATTTGGAAGATTTTTTTTGTTTTTAAGCTTCCCTTACAAAAACTTAAGCAATCCACAAGCGATCAACGAGTGCTTCAAATAAGCACTCAATGGTGCAGAGGATCGCTTATCTGATTGCTTATTAAGCAATCAGGACCGATCATTGATTGCTTAATAAGCAATCGGGACCAATCATCGATTGCTTGGGACCGATCATCGATTGCTTAATAAGCAATCGGGACCGATCTTCGATTGCTTAATCAGCAATCGGGACTGATCTTCGATTGCTTAATAAGCAATCGGGACCCTATCATATAGCCATAAGCAATGAGCCATCGGGTACCTATCATTGATTGCTTACCCGATCAGTCCCGATTGCTTATTAAGCAATCGACGATCATTTAAGCTATCCTCTGCACCATTGAGCGCTTATTTTAAGCAATCATTGATCTCTTGATCAGTCCCAAGAGATCGACGATTGCTTATGACGAAATCCAAGAGCTCTCAGGACCAATCACTGATCATTTAAGCAATCGCTGATTACTTGAAAATGGCTTGACTTTTCCCTAACTCAAACTATAAACCTACTCGGCTTATATACGTGTGTAAAAACAGATAAATTAATCTATGGTGTATAACCTTTCGCTTTCAATATTTTGCATCTGAACTGACAATCAATCCCAAACAACTAGTGTAAGCTAGCTAATTAATTAAATAATTAAATTATTAATTTATTAATTTTTAGGCTGGAGATTTATTAATCGTGAATTAATTTCCAACGGCATTATTTTGTGGGAAAGCGACGCATGCGCAAATGGACTACCGTACCCGTAGCCTCGAGACATTAAGGTACGGCTACCGTATCCGTAGCCACTGCGTTACTGTTACTTTATTTGCTACTTAAATATAACGTTCTTGAACGTGGCTCTGATAACGTTAAAAAACCCTACAGAATTACGTTAATATAACGCCATTATTTACGTTCTTATTACGTTATTTTCTACTTGAATATAACGTTCTTGTACGTGGTTCTGATAACATAAAGATATCTCGGCACAATCACGTAAGTATAATGTCAGTATACAAAAATAGTTTCATTCAATTATATTAACAATTGAAATATGCACTTTACAATGATGATATTTAGATCACATAAAATAATAACACCACATTGATACATGATATAAAAGTATAAAATGTAGCTAAACACGTAGGAATGTACATATCACTTAAAAAGTTGATTTGATATATATGAATTATAAACATGCTGTTATTAGAAGTTATATGCTTTATACTAGAAATATTTATACATGATATACAGAGATGCTACAGGGCCGGCTAGGTTACCTATACGCTATAGCTTTCCCCCACCGCACCTACATCCCCCAGTTTCTTTTTCCGCCTCCTCTATCATCCCATCCACCCACCTTCTCCACTTCCCCTCCTGCTCCACATCCCCCTTTTCGACCTTTCCTATATCTCTCACTTCTCCTCCTCTTCCTTCACATAGCTCGATCTCCATTACCCCAAGGGCCGGACACTCACCCAGGCGACCCATCGCCGACGCCATCTGGCGCGATGCATGCCGCGCCAGTCCGTCGACGAACCAGGCGATTTCATCGGGCGACTTGGCGAGGCCGACTTCTTGCGCGCTGGCGGCAGTGCGACCTTGGTTGATGAACTCTGAGTTTGGCGATGAATTGAACATCGCGCGCGATGTGGCATCGCGGCAGTCGGGACACACCCAGCGATAGCATCGGCGAGTAATATCAAAACGTTTGATCTGTGTCGATGCCATCGGCCGATGGCAATCGGCGATCTGCTCAATCGCGGCGAGTGAGTGGACACAGCGCAGGCGATTTTCACGACGAGCGATGCCATCGGCCGATGGCATCGCCCGATGGGCATCGCTGGTGGGTCCGGGCCCTTACCGCCATTATCCGCCCCCCTTTTTTATGTACAGCGCGACTGCCGAGTATATATACCGCCAAATTCCCACAAATCTAGTAAGACTTTTGATAAAAAAACTACAATGAAAATAGTATCTAAGTTATAACTTTATTCCACGCAGAGTTCTGTTAGTGAGAGTTTATGGCATGGCTAACGTTATTCAAGTTTGGGAACTTTATTTTACAACAGACATCCAAACAGCTATACCTAAACTTTCAAAGTACTGTTTCTATTTTTTATAGGTGCATATATATGTGCAGGCAAACGTTTTGTTCTCTAACCATGGATAAAACGTTAAATATTGCTAATGTCACGTCATGACTAACGTTTTTAATGGTTAGACAAGTTGATAAATAACGTTTATTTTCACCACCATATAACGTCAAACATAAGTAGACTTCGGCTTAACACCTGACTTGGCTAGGGTTGTGCTTCAGAACGAGATCCAGGACCTAATTAAATAAATGACTGATTGATTCTGGCTGTTTAAAGTCACTG